ACACAAACAAATGGGAAAACATACCATGCTCATGGATAGGAAGAATCAATATCGTGAAAATGGCCATACTGCCCAAGGTTATTTATAGATTCAATGCCATCCCCATCAAGCTACTAATGAGTTTCTTCACAGAATTGGAAAAACTGCTTTAAAGTTCATATGGAACCAAAAAAAGAGCCCGCATCTCCAAGACAATCCTAAGTCAAAGAACAAAGCTGGAGGCATCACGCTACCTGACTTCAAACTTTACTACAAGGCTACAGTAACCAAAACAGCATGGTACTGGTACCAAAACAGAGATATAGACCAATGGAACAGAACAGACCCCTCAGAAATAATACCACACATCAATAGCCATCTGATCTTTGATAAACCTGACAAAAACAAGAAATGGGGAAAGGATTCCCTATTTAATAAATGGTGCTGGGAAAATTGGCTAGCCATAAGTAGAAAGCTGAAACTGGATCCTTTCCTTACTCCTTATACAAAAATTAATTCAAGATGGATTAAAGACTTAAATGTTAGACCTAATACCATAAAAACCCTAGAAGAAAACCTAGGTAATACCATTCAGGACATAGGCATGGACAAGGACTTTATGTCTAAAACACCAAAAGCAACGGCAACAAAAGCCAAAATTGACAAATGGGATCTCATTAAACTAAAGAGCTTCTGCACAGCAAAAGAAACTACCATCAGAGTGAACAGGCAACCTACAGAATGGGAGAAAATTTTTGCAATCTACTCATCAGACAAAGGGCTAATATCCAGAACCTACAAAGAACTGAAATAAATTTACAAGAAAAAAACAAACAACCCCATCAAAAAGTGGGCAAAGGATATGAACAGACATTTCTCAAAAGAGGACATTCATACAGCCAACAGACACATGAAAAAATGCTCATCATCACTGGCCATCAGAGAAATGCAAATCAAAACCACAATGAGATACCATCTCACACCAGTTAGAATGGCGATCATTCAAAAGTCAGGAAACAACAGGTGCTGGAGAGGATGTGGAGAAATAGGAACACTTTTACACTGTTGGTGGGATTGTAAACTAGTTCAACCATTATGGAAAACAGTATGGCGATTCCTCAAGGATCTAGAACTAGATGTACCATATGACCCAGCCATCCCATTACTGGGTATATACCCAAAGGATTATAAATTATGCTGCTATAAGGACACATGCACACGTATGTTTATTGCAGCACTATTCACAATAGCAAAGACTTGGAATCAACCCAAATGTCCATCAGTGACAGATTGGATTAAGAAAATGTGGCACATATACACCATGGAATACTATGCAGCCATAAAAAAGGATGAGTTTGTGTCCTTTGTAGGGACATGGATGCAGCTGGAAACCATCATTCTTAGCAAACTATCACAAGAACAGAAAACCAAACACCGCATGTTCTCACTCATAGGTGGGAACTGAACAATGAGATCACTTGGACTCGGGAAGGGGAACATCACACACCGGGGCCTATCATGGGGAGGGGGAAGGGGGAGGGATTCCATTGGGAGTTATAGCTGATGTAAATGACGAGTTGATGGGTGCTGACGAGTTGATGGGTGCAGCACAGCAACATGGCACAAGTATACATATGTAACAAACCTGCACGTTATGCACATGTACCCTAGAACTTAAAGTATAATAATAATAAAAAAAATTTAAAAAAAAGAAAAAAAAATCATTATATAGATGTATATTTATTGACAAAAAAGATTGCCACAATACATTGTTGAATAAAAAATATGTGTATAATAAAAGCCCACCAATTTATAGAATATCAAATATTTATGTGAAAATCAAATATATATGCATGTATAAGTTTCACAAAATATAATTTAACAAAAATATTAACATTGGCAGGGTGCCATAGGTTATTTTTACTTTCTTACTCTTATGGTTTGATATTATTTAGATTTTTTATACTTAGCATGTCTAATGTGTGCCAAAATGAGGAAGCTATTTCTAAATCCAGTACATCACTTAGAGATTCAAAAGAAATCACCCAGATCTAGGATAACTTGCTATTAGTCTGGGGGCAAAAGCCAAATATTAATATTAGTTTTTAAAACCCTCAAAATTACAGGGCAACTTCAAATGAGTATCTTAACATCAAATGAAGAAACCATAAACATTTTCACAAAAGCTTGTCCCACTCTACCAAAAATAGGTAATAGATCAAAGGTAAATAGCAAATAAAAACATTGCCACCTCCCTGTATAATTAGACTTTAAAAGCTTTCAAGCTACATTTTTAAATCCTGCCTAAAGCCTGTCTTTAAGCCAAACCCACTTCTGTTTTTAGTAACCCCCCTCCCCTTACCTTCTTTTTATTATTTGAGTTAGCAAGAAAGTTCAAGTATCAGATGGGTGGTTGGACTAAATCAGCCCTGAGATTCAGTGATTCTGAGGTATTATTTAAAGTACTAAAGTGCTTCCAAAACACCTGTAACAAATTTTGTCTGCTTTTTCATTAAATTGTAGCATTGCATGATTAAAACTGAAGTCAAGAATTAAATAATTTTTTAAATTTATTGATGCATTGATTTTACTAATATTATACATAGTGAGCCACTGAATTAAAACAACTGTCTTCAAAGCATTGATTCTCTCAACTAACTTTTAGGAAAATATCAATGCCTGGTCTTTCATATATCAAAATAAAAATTACACATTAAAAATATCCTGTATGCAAATTGAAGTGGGTTTTCCAGGAGATGTGATTGTTGCATTAAAACTATTGCTATTTCCTCCAAAGCTCCATCAATTTAAAAATTTCAATTCTTCACTGTTATTATCACTTTTTTTGCTTACGGCTTTACTAGATTAAACCCATGTTTCTTGAACTACATATGCTTAGTTTTCTTTTTCCTTAATAATCATATTAAATTATGCAGAATTTGAATATAAATAATAAAATGTGAAATTTGACTTTCAGTAGAACTGACATTAAGCTAATGTCCAGTATTTTTTTTAAATGGAGATGTTAATAATTAAAAACATCACAATACTGAATAGAAAATTGTGTCTCCTAATGCAAAAGGTTAGAGTATTTGTGAGGTATCAAGGAAGACAATTTAAGATGCTACCTAGTCCACCACTCTGCTGTTCTGGAAGAACTTGCTTCCTCAAAGAAATAGGAATTTCTCCTATTCTTAAAGATCTCCAAAGGTAGTTATTATTGAAGCCACCTCATAATAGCTTATTCATATATTCTATGTTGCTCAACCTATATCTCTTCAATATTATTTTGGTATTGAGGGCCACCACTTAGAAGGGACATTGGCAAAGCATTCAAGAGGAGAATGGCTAGGAAACTTTATGGAAACCATGTTACAATAGAATGGCTGCATGTTCAATGATGGTGGTTGGAATGAACTTGGAGATCATGGAGTCCAGTGGTTATCAAACTCTTAGGTCTCAGGACTCCCTTACAGTCCTAAAAAGTATTGAGGGTCCCAAAGAGCTATTGTTACATTTATCAATACTTACTATATTAGAAATTAAACTTTAAATTTTTTAAATAGTTATTTTAAATAACAATAATAAACCTATTACATAGTATTATAAAGTATTTTATGAAATATGAGTATAATTTCCAAAATTAAAAAAAGAGAGAGAAAACTAGCATTGCTTTACATTTTTGCAAATCTCTTAAATGTCCAGTTTAGAAAAAGACAGCTAGATTATCACAGGTGCTATTGCATTCAATCTGTTGTGATATGTTGGTTTGGTGGAAGTACATGAAAAGTATCCATTTTCACACAGATAGAAAGAGGCAGAATGTTTTAATAGCCTTTTCAAATAATTGTGGCTATTCTTTTATATTACATCAAAATTTGACAAGTAATCACTTCTCAAAGGTTAACTGCAATATGGAATCTAAAACTTGAATATCAATAAACTTTTTGTATTCCATTACTCTAAAATCAAATCACCTTTAAATGGATCTTTAAGCTATACCTGACTTTGTAACACCATACATTACTTCATTTGAGAAATATTGGCTCACTGAGTTTAAAACATTGACATGTTCTATTATGCAATATTGTAAAACCACATTTCTTAATATCACCACCCAATCTTATCAGAAAGGTTTTTAAGTATTGGGAAGCAATCATGATTGTGGTGGTGGGTAAAAGCTTTCCAAACTACTCATTTGCTCTTGGAAGCTCAAATTTTATTGACAAAAAAGTGTCACTTGCTTTCCTCAAAATAGGCAGGCTCACTTTGTTCATTTTTGAGAATATGTCTGCCAGGTTTTTAAGTCTAAATAACCATTGTGTGTTTGTTAGTTGTTCTTTCAAGTAAAAAATGGTGTTCTTTGAAAAAAAGTAGTTAGTTCAACTCAATTACAAGTGATTTTCCTCAAGATAACCATCATACTTGGGTATGTAGTGTAAGTGCCTTATACATACTTCCCATTTCAGCACATAGAGTATTAAAGAAGAGTCAAGAGTTAATAAAATTAATAATTTTACTGTTTTATCTACAATGCCCTTAAGTGAAACTGGCTTTGTGTTTGTTTGTTTTCATGAGTGGTAATAATAAAGAATTCAATGACTACTAACATAATTTGGTGCCACTGTCTTAATGTGTGCTAAGGCACCAGCAGTTTTAACCCAAAATTGCTCTGCATACTCAGTGCAAATGTCAATACAGTGAAAAAGGCAACTAGCAATTTCCCATTATGATGAAAATAGTTTTGACAACATGCCCTCTGAAAGGGTCTCAGGGATCCCCTGTGTCCACAGGCCACATTTTGATAACTGCTGATCTACTCGGATACTCCATTTTGCAGCCAAGGAAATTACTTTAGTTTTTTCAAGCATACAGTAAGAGGCAATGATACCTAGCACAGCAAATGTAATATAGTAAATGCTGATCAAAATTAGTTTCTTTTTCCTCCTTCCCAAAGAAAGAACAATACTTGTGGCTGGAAATTACAAAGTGGTAGGTTGTAGTTCAGTCCAAGATAAACCTTTTTTTTTTTTTTTTCAAGCTCACAAAAGCACTTTTTATTTGAGGCAAAGAGAAGTCTTGCTGAAAGGGTTACAGTTCCAAGCAGTCAAAACTCAACTGTTATTTGCACTATTTTGACCTGGTAGATTTTGCTTCCCTTTGGTCAGAAAAGGGTATTCAGGTTGTACTTTCCCCAGCAGGGCAAAAAGAAGGGCAAAGCAAACTGGAAGAGACCTCTACTCTACTGATAGGGCTCTTCAGATCCAACATCAAGCTGGACACACCCTTGCTGGCCACTCTACAGTTTGCTGGCCACTCTACAGTTTGCTGTCCCACTGCTGAGTGACACAGGCCATACTACCTTTGCAATGAAAACAAATGAGGCAGGAAACACAGGTATAGGTCACTTAGGGATGAGCAGGCAACCACAGCTTCAAAACTCTTCATGGAAGGGGTAATCCTTGTGGCAGGCACAGCTCACCAAGGCACAGATCCTCCAGTTCCTGTTGTAGCTGAGTGAGGTGGTCACATCCTGGGTGCTCAGTTCAAAGTTAAAGACCTTAACATTGTCAGCAATGCGTTCTGGTGTCACAGATTTGGGGATGACCACCAAGTTCCTCTGCATGGGGAGCCGGATCAGGACCTGGGCTGTAGTTTTATCGTGCTTGGCTGTGATCGCCTTGATCCTGGGATCCTCCAGGAGGGAAGGGTCCTCAGGCTTGGCCCAGTACCTATAGGGAGAGCCAAGGGGGCTGTAGGCAGTCACCACAATGCCTTTGGGCTGGCAGTACTGGATTAACTTCTCCTGAGTGAAGTACGGGTGGCACTCAATCTGGTTAACCACAGGCTTATCCTTTAAGTCAGGTTCGTTTAAGATCCTCTCCACCTGGAAATGGTTGAAGTTGGAGATGCCAATAGCTTTCACTAGCCCTTCATCCACCAGGTCTTCCATGGCTGCCCATGTGTCCAGAATGTTGGTGTCACTGGGAACCACACTGCCTGATTCATCCTTCCCAGGCTTAAAGCCAGTTGGCCAGTGAATAAGGTAAAGGTCCAGGTGGTCCAGCTTCAGGCCACTGAGCATCTTCTGGCAGGCTCCTTTCACCAGGCCCTTCTCATGGCACATGCACCACAACTTACTGACAATGAAGAGCTCCTTACACTTCACCACCTGCTCCCTGAGCTTCTCCTGAATGGCCACCTCCACCTCATTTTCATTCTGGCACACATGGGCACAGTCGAGGTGGCGGTACCCAATATCGACGGCCACCTTCACAGCCTCAGTCACCTGGCATGGAGGGGGCTTCCAGGTGCCCAGCCCCAGGATGAGCATCCTGGTACCGTTGTTGAGCACGAGGTGGCTGGCCATGGCTGCTGCACTCCCCAGACTCCCACCCAGAACTGTGCCTAGTTCAGTCCAAGATAAATCTTTTAAAGCAATGAAATAAGTTGCCTCATCAAATAGAAGTTGTCAAAGTTGAGACTGCATGACTCTTTACCAAGAATGTTGTAGAAAGGATTCTTACAGAGTTTAAAGTTGTACCAAAACTTAGCTGATTATATAATCACCTAAAAATCTTTTATAAAGTTCAAATTTCTGGGCCCCACTCCAGACTTCCTAAACCAAAATCTCCTTGAGTGGACCAGGAGTTTACATTTTTTTAAAAGCTCTGGAGGTGACTGTTACAGTTGGCCTAGATGGAGACTGGTATTCAGGAACTGCTGTATCAGTTCTCCTCTAAAGTCACTACCACTCTACGATTCTACAACTTTATACTATCCACACCCACTAGGAAGAATACCTTTACACTTTAATGTAACATACCCTAAGCCTACTTTAATAAATTATATGGTCAGGATCAAGGTATTTCAGGGTGAAGAGAGGAGGAATTATTGTTGCATTTCCTTAGGCCCACCAGTTCACCTCTGCCAACATGTGTAGCTGAATTGTAAATCAGAGATAGGATTGCATAAATTTGACACATTTTTACAACTGCCAACACTTTACTGCTCTCCTGAAAGAATAATTCAATAAGAGCTATCTATGAACAAAGCGGTCAGTATAAAAAGAGTGTCTACACACACACAAAAAAAATGAGGGCCAGGTGCAGTGATTCACACGTGTTATCCCAGCACTTTGGGAGGCCGAGGTGGGAGGGTCATTTAAGGTGAAGAGTTCAAAACTATCCTGGACCCCCGTCTCTACAAAAATTAGCCAGGCAGCCAGGTGCAATGGCTCACACCTGTAACCGCAGCACTTTGGGAGGCCAAGGTGGGCAGGTCATGAGGTCAGGAGTTCGAGACCAGCCTGGCCAACATGCTGAAACCCCATCTCTACTAAAGATACAGAAACTAAGCTGGGCATGGTGGCGCGTGGCTATAATCCCAGTTACTCAGGAGGCTGAGGCAGGAGAATTGCTTGAACCCTGGAGGTGGACGTTGCAGTGAGCTGAGATCTTGCCACTGCACTCCAGCCTGGGTGACAGGGCAAGACTATGTCTCAAAAAAAAAAAAAAAAAAATAGCCAGGCATGGTGACACACACCTGTAGTCCCAGCTACTCAGGAAGCTGAGGCGGGAAGCCCACTTGAGCACAGGAGGTTGGGGCTGCAGTGAATTAAGATCATGCCACTGCATTCTACCCTGGGCAATAGAGTGAGATCCTGTCTCAGAAAAGGGAAGGGAATGAAAGGGAAGGGGAGGGGAGGGCAGGAGAGGAGAGGGGAGGGGAGAGGAAGGGCGGGAATATTTAGAAGACCGCATGTCATTACTTTATAAAGGTATTTTACAAAAGCAGCTTATCATTATGAACCAAGATCAAATTACAGACCACAAGCTTCCAAAAACTATTTACAGAATCACCATGTGACTTAATCCCCAAAATTTGTATTTTGACATCTTCACTAAAGAAATATTCCGGCCGGGCACGGTGGCTCACGCCTGTAATCCCAGCACTTTGGGAAGCTGAGGCAGGCCCATCATGAGGTCAGGAGATCGAGACCATTCTGGCTAACACCTTCTCTACTAAAAATACAAAAATAAATTAGCCAGGCATGGTAGCTGGCGCCTGTAGTCCCAGCTACTCGGGAGGCTGAGGCGGGAGAATGGCATGAACCCAGGAGGCGGAGCTTGCAGTGGGCCGAGATCGCACCACTGCACTCCAGCCTGGGCAACAGAGCGAGATTCCGTCTCAAAAAAAAAAAAAAGAAAGAAATATTCCACATACTTCATAAACACAAGGCAGCATGGCAACCTGACAAAAATCAAATAAAAATTTCACAGTGAGTAAAAAAGAATATATTTTGTAACTTTTCACCTAATAAACTTGTTCTCCTTTATTCCTTCATGCCCGTTGCTTTTCTTATCAAAATAAACTTCTTTGAAATAACTTTTGTTATTTTTAAGATCTGTTTTTTTAAGATCTTTTTTCTTACAGCCTGTGTGATTTCAGAGATAACTAGTTAATAATAATAGTTTTTAAAAAGGCAAAGGGTCCTGTATGAGTAGGTCTGGAGGAAAAAAGTCATTATCAAAACATAATCCACAGACTATCTATATCAGAACTGCTTAGAGTGCTTATTAAAATAAAAAATTTGTGAGCAGGTGTGGTGGCTCATGTCTGTAATCCCAGCACTTTGGGAGGCCAAGGTGGGCGAATCACTTGAGGTCAGAAGTTTGAGACCCGCCTGGCCAACATGGTGAAACCCCATCTCTACTAAAAATATAAAGATTGGCCGGGCATGGTAGCCCTGGCTACTCAGGAGGCTGAGGCAGAAGAATCACTTGAACCCAGGAGACACAGGCAGCAGTGAACCAAGATTGCGCCACTGCACTCTGGCCTGGGTGACAGAATGAGACTCCACCTCAAAAATAAAATAAAATAAAATAATTTTAAAGATTATTAAAGCTCCACCCAAACCAATCAATTCTATGATTCTGAGAGTTGGCCCATTAATCTAATTTTAAGCATTCTTCAGATAATTCCTAAAATTCAAAAACTCCCAGGCTAAAGAGAAACTGTGCTAAATGAGGGTATGCTCACAAAAACTTTTGTGGAAAAATGAAAATTTTGTAACTCTGTAAAATGTCTTATTTTACAGAAAAGATTCTCAATGATTTTGGAGTTCCTGTTTTATAAAAATAAAATAACAATGTTTTCTTAAATATAAGGAGGTATTAGAAACTAGACATTGGAATTTACCTAAAAAATTAAGCCTTAGTTAATTGCAGTGTGCTTTTTAAAAAAATCTGAGATAAAGATACAAGCAATTCTTCAGCAATTCAACTAATATTTCTGAGAGCCCACAGGATGAACAGCATGAATATGGATATCTAGGGATACAGGACAATAAAGCATAATCCCAGACCTCCAGGAATGGCATTTGGATTCATTGTAAGATAGATGCTATAGTTAGAATAGTCTTGCTTTTGCAGTACACTATCATATCCAGAAAGAGAAGAGGATTCCTATCCTTGCTGAGTTTTCTCTTCCTGAGTTCTGCTCACAAAATGGAGTAACAGTAGAGTGGCAGAGATTTAAAAAGCAATCATTTAACAAAATCTTGCAAATAAACTTTAATTTTTAAGACCATACCTCTTTTTAATCAGCGTATTTTATATAGAGTAGACATATAGAAAAAACTGAGGCAGGGCCATTCTTTGTACTTGTTCTAGATAATTAAATCAAGATAAATTTAAAGACAGCAAAAGATGGTCAACTTTAATCTTCATTTTTTAAAAGTCTTCTTGCTACCACTCTCAGTACCACTCCCTCTTAACCACAAATAATGACTTCAGTAATGAAGCGCTGTAATTTAAAAGTATCAGGCAAATAACAGCAAGTAACTTAGATGAGTTGACACCGCCTGTTGCGCAAATATGTACTTAGACTATTATAAAAATAACAACTGCATTATCAACTGGATACAGACCAGAACAACTTATGGGAATACAGAGAGTCAGCATAGTCTCAACTTGCATGTATGTGGCACTTTACATTTTTCAAGCATTCCTAAATTTGCGGTAGAAATTAAAAGGAAGAGAGATGCTGAAAGAAGAGAAAATAAAGATTTGACAACTATGGGCTAATTATCTAAAAGTCCTAATTTCTAGAGTAAATCATCCTTACTCATCATTTACTGGATGCTTACTCTGTGCCAGACACTGTATTAAGCCCTGAGAAAACAAAAATGAATGCAGTAGAGTTGGTGACTTCAGGGAGTTCACAGCCTAGTAAAGAAGACAAATAATTACAGCTTTGTATGCAATATGTAAAGAAAAGAAAGCAGATTATAAAACTATATAATGTCACTTTCTAAAATAAAGAAAATACTTTTAAAGATGAGGATGTTAATATTTACTTCCCAAAGTTTTTGTGGGGATTTGACATATGAAAATGCTTACTAGATGCGGTATGCCTTCCATAAATGTATTTCCCTTTTTGCTTTTTCCCTAAGACTCAAATGAAATGAGCTCAAGTCACATCTTAGGTGATGTGGTGGCTAGTATAGTCACCCACTTTTTAAAGAGGAATGCCTTAAGGGTACAAGACCCTACAGTTGTGTCCTTGGCAATGCTACCACATTATCACACCTAACAAATAAACACTGTAGACCCACTAGGAGCTGAGTTGCACACTACAGGTTAGTCCTTCTCAACCTTACCTTAGGTCTTTTGCTCACTCTCAAAAACAAAGAAACAAAGAGGATCATATGGAGAGATCCTGCTTATCATTTTACTGTATCTTCTTCATAACAATTTGAAGATTTCACTTTGAAGTCCAGACAAGATCTGGCCTAGCCTCGGAGGTTGCCTCACATTCTAAGTAAAAATATCAGGGATAGCAGAATGAAATGTGCCCAAGTTTACAGGCAAGGAAACAGACATACAACTCACTTAGGACCACATGACAAGTTGCTGACAGAGCTTTCATTTGAAGTCAGAGTTTCCCATTACTAGGCATATGACGTAAAGCCAAAAAGGGGGGATAAAAATTATATTCACATACTTTTTAAAAAGTAATAAAAGACTATGTTCTTAGGAAAAGGACTGAGAGGAATAAGCTGTTAACAAAGGCTGCCAATGGGCATGGGACAATAGGTAAACACTATCTTTCCATTTTTCACATTTTTCTAAATTTCCTTAATGCTAAACATTTTAAATTGGAAAAAGTAAATTAAGCAAAAAAAGTATGCAGTTCTACTATTTTATACAGAGTTCACACTTGTGAAGGTCATAATCTTGAGCAACATTCAGAGTATTTTCTAAATTGTCATTAACATGCAAGTAAATCTTCTAATTAATAATGTGAGTTCTATATCCTACCTCCAAAAATAAGTGAAAGTTTAAAATACAGGCAACTCACTAGTCATAATATTATGTCATTATGTGGTTATTAAAACTTTTATTTGGAACCCTAGACAATAGCATGAGAAAACATTTGTGGTGTGTATCCACTGTATTATATAATAGTCATAGTCAATAGAGTTATCTAACTATCTTTAAATCAGCAATATTCCTTTGAAAGTATGGTCTGAGATAGATTAACTACTTTTTCCTTGATAAATAACTTCAATTTAAAAATGCAACACAGATTCATTGCTAAAACTGAATGAGATAACACGTAAAGCAATTAGTCCAGTACCCTGGCAGTTAACAGGTATACTTCACATAGCTAACCTCTTAGAGTAACAATGGCACTTCAAAGTATGAGTTTTTTAACCTTCTTAACTTTTTATTCCATTACTTCACACTCTACTAAAACAACAGGAACCAGAAGGCAGTCTAGTATAGTCAGAGAGTGAAGGCTAGGAGGCAGATCTAGCTTCAAACCCTGGTTCTGACATTTAGTAGATATGTAACCATGGGCAATTATTTAATTTCTCTGCATTTTAGGTTCCTCATTTGTAAAATAAACACAATCTCATCTCACCTACCTTAAAAGATTTTAAGGATAATAAAATGAGATTATCTACATAAAATATCTAGCAACATACTGAGCCCACAAAGTAATAAGTGTTCAACAACTTTTGGCAATTATTAGCAGG